AGTTTTCCGATCGTGAAATCGCGAAGTTTTGCAAGAGCACATCGTGAATTATCCCGTGTTCGTCAGGTGCAACTCAAGTAGCGCAACGCACCGCGCATAATCGCATAGTTAACGAACCGGAATGATAAACTGTTAACACGAGTGAGCGAGCAAGAGAGAGAGAGAGAGAGAAAGAGAGAAAAGGAGCGAGAGAGCGCAAAGTAAAAAGAATGCGTGCTATTAAAATGATAAACGCACGACAATAACGAGCGACACGACGATTAACGCGGCACGACAATGGCCAGACGCATTCCTGCATTTTATTATCGCCATGCGTTTGTTTATGCGTAGGTATGCGCGCACGGGTAAGGGAGCATGTCTGTCTATATATCCGTACCTGCATAACTACCTACGCACTCTCGGTGAGTGCACACGAGTGTGTTGCGCGCGCGCGCGCGCGACGCAACAACAATGTGAAAGTGAATGGCGGCGACGCGTCGTCGATGCCTGACGCGGTTATCGCGTGTGTGCAAAAAGGTCGTCGCCGAAGGACGCGCGGGATCTCGATCTTTGTCCGACTTTGGTGAGTCGCGCGCTGCGGGACACCTCGCGTTTCCCCTCTTCGAAGAGAAACCTAGACCTATTAATCTCGGGAACCGCTACAATTTCTCGGAAATTCGCTCTGCAAATTCAATTGAGCGACATTTTTATCTTTTTTCCTCGGGAATTTGAATTTCCGGCAATATCGTCGTCGATTTAATTAGCTTGTTGTTGTGTTTGAGACGTCAAACACGACGCCTTTTCTTCGCGAGAAAGAGAGATAACGGTTTATTATTCTATCTAAAAATACATCCTTTGGCTGGTTTCTGTACATGATGTTCTAGTCAACATTTCCGGGATTTTTTGTGGCCGCGCGATGCGCGTCGTTTCCTACGAAACAACCACAGTTGCGGGAATCATGCGCGTGCTCTTCTCGTTTTGACGTTAAAAGTCGGTGACGTCACGATGTCTGACGTCAGTGACTTTTGACGTAAGTCGCGAAATCGGAAGTTCGAACGCGCATCTCGCTCAGTCCTGAATTTGTGACGTGAGTCAATAAGAGAATTGTGAAATCTCAAAAAAGACACGCGCGTCTATTTCGTGATTTGTAATATTTTATTTAAAAAAAAAGAAAGAGAAAACTGTCTCTCTCTTCAGAAATACGTACGATCTATTGCGAGTTATTCAGATTGTCGATTGTCGAGTTATCGCAATCGATCGACTGCCCACGAGATCTCGGATCACCAGCCAAGTGAATCGCCTCGCACGCACGTGCGCCCGCGCAGTCGAACGTGAAAGTGAACGCACGCGCGACATGGTGGGCTGTAAGGTCGATGAAGGACGCTTTGCGTGGATCTCGATCGAGAGCACAGCTTCTCTCTTCTCGCATGTGCACGAATCGAATCTCTCGCGCACGCCCGATCGAAATCGCGGATCATGGTTTGCGCAGCCCGAAGGTATGAACACGTTTCGATTCTTCTCGAAATTTCGAATATCAGCGCACAGTTTTGAACTCGTCAAAACTGTGTGTTTGCTGTGTATTATCAAGTTATCGAATGGAATTCATAAAGAAAAGAAAAACAAAAAAAAAAAAATTATAAAAAGGTCACCACAATTTATACACTTTAATGAATAAATCATTTTGTTTTGACAAAAATTTGTTTTTAAATCGAGCGACAAAGTCCAGAACACACAACGAGACAACGTCGTCAAAACGGAGTGAGATAAACACGATTTTTTGAAAGAAAAAAAAGAACGAACGTCACTCGAGCTATACATTTTATTCATCCGGAATATGGACATTCGTTGTGCTGACATTTAAGGAACTGTATATTCTAAACCCGATCTCTCGAAACTAGACAAGAGCTCGTAATAAATAATATCTGACAGCGCTAAAAGTCGCAAAAGAGGATGAAACAAAATTTATACGAACTGTCCGGCAAAGAGACTGACGTTATAAGAGCTAAACAATTTGCGGTTTCGTCCGCGGGCTATACGCTTCGTCCGCAGGATGATTGAAGACCAAAAACTGCGACTTTTCGAGAAACCATTGTGAATCTCAGACAAGCGTTGTATATTTAAACAGGCGACGCAGCGTGTATCAAGATATCAAAATTCACACAAATCTATTCATATTTTTTCTATATGTAAATTTTATACTCAATTAAGAGATATATACTCTTGACTTTTTCTCGCATCTTCGAAAAGAGAGAAGGACAAAAATCCGCAAACACGGAAAAGGTCGAAGGTGAAACGGAGAAAATCATAAACGACACTATATGTGGAGAGAGAAGAGCAGCCGTGGGCAGCTGTATACACAAGGGCGATCTCTGGATCGAAGTCATCCCTACGTGCAACATCAACGTTGCTGTTACGTCATCACCAACGACGAGAGGACGACGCCGTTTGTCACGCGCGCGATCAGAAAATTCCGGATATTCTCCCTGACGATGGATGGCCTCGTGTAATTGCTGGTCGCGCCATTAATGGAGTAACACTGTGTCTCTCGTTATGAAATCGCGATGTTTCATTCCGCTACCGCGTATAAAACATGCGCTCAACTAGGAACGAGCGTGTTTTTTTTGTAAACGCAATTATGCACATTGTTTTTGCAGAGACCAATTTATCTCGCGTTGTTCCGCTCACGTACGTCATCAATGAAATAATTAAATTTGCTTAAATTTTCACAAAGTTCAGTTTAATTTATGGTTTTTGCCAAATACGTACGCTGCAACGAAACAATTTGTTTCGTACATACGTATATAAAAAATAAAAACAATTCAAAAAAATTGTTCATGAAAATTTGACGGACCGTCACAATAGAGAGAATTAATATTAAAAAATTTTTTCAATGCAAAAATATCTCTTGATACTTTTTTTTAAACTTTTATTCGAAATATGTGCGTACGCGTGCGTGTTACGGGGGTGCGTAGAAGGCGCAGCTGCAAGGTGCGCACACAGGTGTTGGCTGATGGACAATCGGAGCGTGACGATGCGCGAGTTAATGCATATGAAAGAGGACGACGTGGTTACGACGTGGTTACGACCGAGGAAAAACGAGAAATTCTCTCTCGAGGCAGTATAGAGACACAGCTTTAGTCACATGCCGGAAAATGTCAACCACGTGCTGGATACACGAGGCGCGCTGTGCTCGCCCATAATCCGTCCCGGCGATGTAAGAGCCCGTCGTCTCTCTCGCGTCTTCACAATAAACAAAAAAAAAAAAAAAACTGTTGACGGCTTCGATGCACTTCACGTGCACGAAGCTCACGTTTTTTTTAAAATGTCATCATTCTTTTCTTCACGGAGTCATATCGCGCCGTCTATATCGTTTGCAACGTCTTCGTTTTCGTTGAACCGTGAGGTTTTTTTCCGGCGTTTTGACGATTTCCGCCGATACTTTTATTTTGAAATACGCACGACAGACAGACTGTAAGTGAAAGTATTGTGAGACGTTTTTATCTTGGAATTCATTATCATCGCTTATTCGCAAAGAACGTCGTTGTTTTCCACACGTCGTTAACCACACGACGAAATTTGTTCTCAGAAGAGACTTTCGACCTTATTTTATTTCCCCGCGTGAAGAACGTTCTCGTGATGATTATCGATAACTTTAACCCTGAACTCTCGTTTGCCTTGCGCGAACGTTCTTTCGGTAAACAAACTAATAACTTCATTACGCCATAAATAAAGTATCGCGAGGAGAGTCGCGCAAATTTGCGATCTCTCGAAATAGCGTGAAAATTAGAAAAGTTGTTCCCTAGATGCTTATCAATATTTCATCGCAAGGACGATGTTTGTCTTCCGATCTTTCCGCTCGAACACACACACACGCACACACATATATACATATAATTACAGAACACGATAGTTCTTTAGACGCTAAAGTAGAATTTATTCGTTGGCGTACGTAACGAATTACCGCCTCGGAATTTTACTAGACTTGATGAGAAGTTTTTTGCGCGATTGTATTAAACATTCATCGAGTTATTATACTCGGTAATTACTCGGTATTGTCACAGCCAAGAGATAAAGAATGGAAATGACATCGATTGTTTTTGTACTCCTTCAAACGAACTCACACACTAACATGAGAGAATTCATTTACCTTGACGCGAATTTAAATTATCCGTGGTAGGAAAAATTTTACTCTGTACGCGTAAACAAACATGGACTTTGTTAGAGATCGCTATCTCTCACGATCGCTGTACGTCGAATTAAATCGTCGAACAAAATCTGAATTTCCGACTACGTATAACCGACCATGCCGGCGACCTTCCGATTGTCTCGGCGAAATTACGACATATCTGTGTCACCGAATGCGAAAACTAACCGACACTCATCGTTAAAGATTCAACGTTGGAACGCCGACAACCGCTCATCGAGTCTCTGTGTGTGGTAGTAATGGCGCGCGACGGCATCAGCGGAAACCATGTCGCCTGCAAGTTTCATAAGCAATGACATTGCCAGGCTTATCAATAATGCGCCTCGGAGCCTCGTGCTTTTCCCGCGCCGCGCGTCGTTTACTCTATTTACGGTAGAAAATCTATAACGGGGCAAGGGACATGTGCGCGCAGGGTTATTGACTGAAATATTCGTGTCGGGTCGTTACGTAAGCCTTATAGCGAAGCTAAGGATGCTTTTAACCTCTCGATTGAGCGTCGTCGTCGCACAATGAGCGTATCGGAAACATATGTAATCAAATATATATTTTTTTATAGGTAAGTTAAAACCGGTTTTCCTCTACAATTACGTATGCAAATAGAATATTTAATTTTATTTATTAGTTACGGACATTTATTTACATATATAAATAAGTATCTCGTACGTACACATAAATAATCGAGACACAGAAATATATTTTAAGTTTTTCTTAAAATATACTGTAATTTATATGTTATTTATTTGTTGCCGTTTTTTTTTTTTATTTTCTTTCGACCAATAAGCAATAAATCACGTGTTCCGTCTCTTTTTTTTTTCAGTCTGGACGGTAGATCCTGCAAGGACGAGATTTACCAAATGGGTATCGGTGCTGGATATTGCGAAGGCAATCTGAACTTCGCTACGGCCTCGGAAGATGACGAGGTTTATACCAAGAAGAAGGTCTCTAGGGTGAGTCATCAAGCTCATTTGCACACACACGTTCGATTCCACCATAAGGCAAAACTTTCGCGTCCGCTTCGTATCGAGGCAAAATGTATTTAAGCAACACACAGACACACACGCGTCGCGTCTCACGTGTGTGTTCTCTTTTAACAGCGTTGTCATAATATTTGCTCAACTGAAAACGCGTACGTACAAATATTCTCTTTTCTACCTGCGCGCGAAGTGCAATTGGGTTCAGTCAATCCGAAGCGAATATATCGCGGCGCGAGCAAAAATGCGCGCATCGTTAATTAATTTTAGTACATTTAGTTTTGCTTCGCGAGTGTGAGAAAAAAATCTGACTATTGCACACGCGGAAAGTAATTCATAAGATTCATAAGAAGATACTTTTTCGCTCTCTCGTTTTACACACACAAAAATTTACGCCGCAAAATTATACACACCAGCTTTTAGATTTTCTCTGTAGATTCGAGCGAACATTTTGAAAGAAAGAACATGTTTTATGTAAGCATTTGAACTTTGACTCGCGCTTTCAATTGAGATCATTTGACGTTTGTCTTATTCGCGTTTTTTTTTTCGTCGACGCGTTGTTTTTCTTTTTACGACGGCCGGAAAGACGACATCGAAATTGAAATATATATTATATATGTATGAGAAATCGACGGGCGGGTATTTAGGCCAGTGCGCCGTTGTCGTGGAGAGAAAGGTTTTCCGTGTTGTCGAATCAGCAATGACGCAACGACGTGTGTCGCCGACGTACTTGACGCACGGTAGTCACATCACGTTCACGAAAACGACACGATTGTGACACAGCACTTCGCGCGAAATCTTCGAACGAGCTTGTGCTAAATTCTTATCCAACGGAATTATCGGCGCGTTAAAACCCGCATTTTCCGTGTCTGAATTTTCAAGAAGTTTCTGCTCATATACGTAAAACAAAAAACAAAACAAAAAACAAAAATTAGGTTTTTCCCCGCCAATATATTCCACGTATATCTGGAAAAACACGTAATAGTTAGATATCGTCCCGTTGAGACCCTGTCACGTTGCATTATCAACGTCGTATATTTATAACCAGCCGCTTTTTATAGCAGTGATAAGCAAGACCGAGAATAATGGCTGACGCGATGTTTCACTTGTCTACCGTGTAACACGCGGTTTCTAAATGTATTCACGCAGGGGAGAGGAAAGGGAGTGCGCGCAACACACCTCTCTCGCGCGCTCCTCTCTGGATGTCATTTCCGTTCCGCGTAATATCAACGGTATTATTACGCGCACGCGGTGTTTCAGAACACACGGAGGGAAAGTTTTTTTCAATTCGCGCGCGCGTCAAAATCTTGCACAAACATGTTACAAAATAAATTTCGCGATAAGGTTTTGTCATCGCGTGATAAATCGTCATATAAAAAAAAAAAAAAAAAAAACCAAACTTGGAAACTATCGAAAGCAAATGACGAATCGAAATGTCGATTCTTTTTATTGCAAAGAGACGCAATTAATCATCGAACGGATGTCTCTCGTCGCGTGATCTTTTGAGAATTCGTCGGGGAAAAATTTCTCCCGTTTCTTTCGTGTCGCAATCGGCCTCTTACCGAACTCTAGAGAGAGAGACAGAGAGACTTTCAGGAAGCGGAGACTCGGAAGCGTGACTAGGGTCTTCTGAGATGCTGCGACGATTACGCGACGAGTGTGAATTAGAAAGGAATGTCCGTCTCGTTCTTGACGTATTATCCTGCAACTCACGACGGTTGGGAGAAAGTGTGCGTTCCGGGAGTAATAAAATCGATTTGCAAACGGAGCGCGATTTACATGGATTGTTCTTTTGTTCAACGACTCGTGAAACGTTTTCTCGAAGAGTCAAAAGTCGAACACGTGTTGAGAAATTTTTTTTTAAAACGAACAAAACTTTCAGGTAATTTATCGCAGTAAGTTCAGGCCTCTGGAGAATTTCATCGATCTTCGAGCTGTAGGCGAGAACATTTTTTTTTTCTTAACAGAAGTGACGCCTGTGTGCAATTGCGTTAATCAAAGAAGAAAGACGCAGGCAAACAAAAAAAAAATCGTCACGTTTTTACTCGCGTTTACGCAACACCCGCGATGCGAGTCTCCCGAGACTTGCGTAACTCGCGTCGTATCTCACTCGGGCCGTTTATCATGTGTATACATGCAAACTCGCACGTATCGACGGAATTACAAAAAGTTAATCGCGTCTATGTGTGTTTAACACACAGCGCGCCTAATTCGCGACAACGAGTTACATAAAGAAGAAGCACGAAGTTTGAAACGTGTCGTCGCGTTGCGAGTTTTCATCGGCGCGAGGAAAGAGGAGAGGGAAAACGAGTTTCGTGTACACACACACACACGCGCGTCCTTACGTTTGACCTCAAATTTTTTTCACGTGTGTTGAGACCGGCTTTACGTGCCCGTACGTACGTACGTGCGTCTTCCCGAAGTGGACCTACGAGAGTGTTCTCTCGGAGTTTGTAACGACTCATCCACGGGAATACCCGTCCTCGGTCTTGTTTCTCGGTCACGGCTGTGAATCAGAGAACCCCGTGTGCACACGTGTTCGTTTCACATGAGAACGTGAAGGAATTTCACTTCTTGTCGGAAACGAGAGAGGAAAACGTTCTTATTTTCCAGGCCGATCTCTCGAGCCGGTTTTGATCGCGAATGTTTTCCATGTTTTCCCGCGGCCGTTTACGAGATAAATAGCGACTGTTTGCGCTTTAATGAATAGAACCGAGCAAATTCGAATCGGTTACACTCTCTTACATGTGTACGTGTGCGCACACATACATTTCTTATTATATTTCGCGTTGAGTTTCGGGAGGGAGATAAGTGCGCGCGTTCTCTGTTGTTTAAGGATGTCGCGAATTCCGGCGTCGGCATTATGAAAGCCCCCAGACAATTCTCGGTCGTTTTACCTGAGTATCTCTGTCTCTCTTTCCGTCTCTTTTCGTGTCTCCGTTTGCCGCGATCTGCACGTGGCGGGCGAGATAATTCGAGTCACGCGCTTCTCGTCATCGCTTTCTGGAACCGTCGAGCCGAGCGCGCACCGCTTCGCACGGCGATGAGTTTCGAAAGGCGGCTCCAGCTGACTGATAAGCGCCCCACTATGCTCGCAAGAGACACCGTCGCGAGCTGACGTCCGCGGGGGGATGTCCGGAAAATGTGGAAGAGTATTCTTTGAAAAAAACCACACGCGCGCACACCTGTTACACGCAGATAGCTCACAAGAGACAAAAAAATGACAAGTCGTTGACGACGAAGTCAAGTTGGAAGAGATAAAAGTAGAAATAATGAGGAACATCGATAACACATTCTCGGTCTACATTTATAATTTTATGATGCGACTGTGTTTGTAAGTCTTAAATATAGAACGTTAATTACGAGAAATTTTTCAAGGTTTTTAATTACGTTTCAATTTAAAAATTTAATTATATAATTAACTTCTGCTTTGAATATTCAATCGTGCAATCGTGGACAGTTGCTAATAATCGAAGTATTTATCATCGGAAGGCAAAAAAAGACGCTAGAAAAATCTCTTGTTAGAAAAACCTTGCTATTCTCTTCTCATTTCCTCAATAAGAAAAAAAAACAAAAAATTACATACTCGCGCATTTATCTGAAAAAAAAAGAATAGCATTATTTATTCCTTCTCGTTCCGATTCTTCGCCTCGTAGGAGTTTAACTGCTCATTTCTCCATTTATTCTCCTGAAATGTAATATATAGTCGGTGCGGCGTCCGTGCGGCGATGACGCTCATGGAAACGAGTGACGTGACCAGAAAACTCCTCGTGGAAAACGATCGAACGGCGACGATTGCACGCGACCCAAATAATGCCTTGCAACAACGTCACATGCAAGAAAACGCCCGTAGGCGCTCATCTCATTCAACGAGCACGATGTTGCATCTCCCGGAGAGTTTCGAGATTCTATTTTCGAATTCCACGCGAAGCTCTCTCGCGGTAAACATTTCAGATGAGAAAAATGCAATAAAAAAAAAAAAAAATTTGAAAGGTAAATTTATTTATATAATACAACATTTTAATATCTCACTTGAAATATTCTCTTCACTAGCGCCGCGTTTTCCGAAATGTGTCCGACCTTAGGAATTAAGGTTCTTGCAACGAGCAATAAACACGTCGCCCCTAATCGCGAATTGCTTTCCACCGCTGCGGCAGCGGCCATCGTTGAAAGCGGCGGCGGAGTCGTTGATCCAAATGGCAAACGTGCCAGAATTAGAATACGTGCGCACACGTTTGCCGTAACAGTTAGGTCTTCCAAGTTAAATTCGTCGCGCGGGCCGCATTTAATTATGAGGCTATATCGAGAGATTCGTTTTTTGCCAAGAGAGATTTGCCTTCGCGCGCGCGCAACGACGATATACATCTCGAAAATCAGATTTACTCTCCCGTAAAGCGAGCGAGAAACGGATCGAAAATTATATACACGCGTCGTATCTGTGCTTCTTGTCTAAATGGATACAAAAATGAAAAACGTGTTTTGTTAATTTGGCAATAAATGTTTGTTGTTTTGCACGCGCTGTTTTGTATGCACTTTCTAATCTCGCGTAATTGTTATTCGCGATAACGCGAGACAGATAAGATTTCGAGAGCGTCATCGAGTAAACTAACTTGGGTACACGCAGCCGAGATGAGAAAAAAAAGTTATGCAAATTTTGTTTTCTACGTTTCGTTCGACACAAAGCGGTCACATTTGACAGAGCGGAAACGCGATAACGAATTATCTTCATTTGCAATATAAGAAATTACACGGGACAATATGTATATGATCGCTGCAATCAATCGGCTGTAATTGCGAGCGGAAAACGTTCGCTTGGTAAGGTAAAAATAAAAGAAAAAAAATGCGACGCGCGGTTTCGCGCGACGAATTTACCGCGCGCCGAAGGTGCTCGCTCGAAGGTGTTCGTGTGCAGTTTCCGATTTCGCGTAATTACCCGTAATAAGATCGTATTTTCTCATAAAGGCCGCGTTTCACGT